GTGAAAACTGCATCTTTGTATCAAAGTAGAAAGGAAAGAGTAGTTGCACTCTTCCAAATATTTTCTGTCAGTTTTTACAATCTGTCGAATATCGGCAGATTGCAGAGCGTTTCAGTTGAGGTCCGTCCGTCGACCTACGAGGTTCGAACGTTGCGTCCCAGCACAGAAACGGATTGACAAAAAATGAGTGCATTACTGCGTGCTGCTATTGGTTGTAGTAATAATTCAAAAAATTGTGCTTTGAGTTTTTTTTGAGAGTCATTTGCGATCATGTTTGTGTTCAGGTTAATCCGAAGAACCGGAAATTCCTGATGCTATTTCTCATGGTTCTTGCTTCTTTTCTCTTTTGAAATTTCTGTAATGTTTATTAGCAATTATTGTAGTATGTATTGTAAGTTTAAATACGTTATTTTATTATTTACTACAATGTGTTGTTCAATGTATTAGTTATCCAATGAAAATCACCTAACCAATATATATTACTACAAAACAAACACATTAATGTTAACATTAAACTTGTTTTGAATTAAAAAAAAGTTGCAGAAAATCTTTGAAATAGATAATAATATAAAAATATGTCATTATATATTTTTTCCGCATTTCTTCCCATCAGAAGATTTTCAGATACAGAAGAATCGTTACTTACACGAAATGTGAAAATATTCTGTTTTCAAGCAAATTTTTACTCGATGATCAATTTTTATTTTATTTTATTTTATTGTGAACTCATTTTCCTAAATACATCTCTGTGAAACTATGGCGAGTGCTACGACTATACTTTGTCTAGTTATAGACCACGACTATACAGCTACGTCAGTGGTCACGGGACGCGAGAACAAGGTCATATAAAGTGGCAGAAAAAGAACAAAGGATTTGACAAGGAGTAAAGCTACTAGTTTCCTTATTACTATGTTTGTATCTCTACTCATAAACGAGAAACCCTGTAAAGCACACGAAAATGGGACACCTTGTACATATCGTGTATTTTCTTCATTGTGTCTCCAGGAAGATATACTGGAAAGCGATTTTATTAAATTGTTTTAATTTTTTTTTATAGAAATAATATAATTTATGAGTTAGCTCTTATTAAATAATTCATTTATTTCCGGATATTTGTTTTTTGTTCTTTAAAAAACACATTTTTATTAAGTCTGCTTTCATTGCTTTGTAACGTTCTCACCAGTCACTTATTAATTTTCGATTATTCAATAAATAGATACCTATTATTACGAAAGCATAAGTACAATGATTACTTAAATTATTGTTACAGGTCTCAATGACTTTAAAATCTATAATTATTATCATTACTTCACTTTTTGTTCTACTACTTGTACCGATTTCAAAATTCCAAAAAGCTTCTCTTAATCATCGCACAAAAATGGAAGAAAGTGAAATGACATTGAGCATAAATGAACATATTTTTTATTAAGCTTCAGCCTGCTTTGATTGCGTCAGAAGTGTGTACTTGCTTGTTCATAATCTTCAATTACTCTTAAAATAGAATTTGTTACGAAAATATAAAATGAATGGGCAAATGAAACGAGAATGAAACGCAGATAATATAATTTTTTTCGCAGTGTTCTGGTACTTCCGTAGTTTTCACTCTATCGGTAAAAAAATGTTATGAAATAATATCGCAGGTAGTTATTGTTCGGCTTTTTAGAAATGTGCGATATTAACAAGTGTAATGAGATAATTATAATGGGACTTACGATAAATAAAATTATCGAGCTAAAAATTGTTTTTTTTTTGTTTGACGGTTATTTAGTCATTGTTCGAAATTTTAAACCATATACATAATTAGTAATTGTTAAGTCCGTGCAGAAATACAGTGTGTTCGAATATATCGTGGTTTATGCCCACTACTATGTTTTTTGGAATCAAAATAAAAACGTTGGACACAATTTACACTGTATACCAAAGTGTTTAGTTTTTTCGTTTAGGGCTCTAACTCACTGACGACCAGGTCGCAACGACCTGGCCGTCGCGTCGGCCGGCCGGATGTATTGCGTTTATAGCTGCGGCCAGATGAACGACCAGTTTCAACAGAGTTGTCAGATCTAACGCTTTTTTACGTTTTACCAATTAGAAAATATTGTTTCAGAAAGAATTAAGTTTCAGAAATGTTAAAATATCCGTGTTAAAATATCCGAGTTAACTAAAAAGCGAAGTTGCTATTCATAAGCTTATTAAATGTTCTAATATTAAATAATGCATTTAAAATATTCTTGGATTTTTCGTTAATAAATACTGGTGTGGTAAATGGAGTAAGTAAAATCTCCAACCCTGACTATACGATAACGTCGTTATTTCCATATTTTTAAAATCCGCGATCCTGCTATTCCATCAGTCGTTTCATAACAGAATATTCTACATCCTACGCCTATGTAATTTAATATGTGTAGAGTGAGACATGTAACTCGTGAGATTTTCAGCATTATATCAATAAAGGACAAAAACAGTATTGTTCCTAAAGGTGCGTCCAGACTTTGGCATTTTAACCCGAACGAACCGAGCGCGCACGAACAAGCAGAACAAATAGGCCGAACAAAAAGCATTGTGTACGCGCGACCGACAAAAAGGGAGATATTCTGTTTCTTTTTTCTACTGACAAGGACTTCTACTGATGACTCTTATCGACTTTAGAAGTAAACATATTAGGCCTATCATAAAAAAGTCGTCAGACACTGACTCCTAATATAAGCAGGTAGAAAGTTTAGCTTCCAGTTATTTCAATGTTTACAATATAAATTCTTCTTTTTTATTGTTACTGAGAATCTACAACAGTAAATATTTCTATTTTTATGAATGTTTAGGTTACTTTTACTCTTAAATTTTGGGACCCCCCCCCCGTATCTCAGTTATTGTTAAAGATATTGAGACGGTGAAAACTGCTTATTGTAGAACTTTTTACGTAGAATACAGTGATGTAGTGTGTTATTCTACGAAAATAATATTTTTAAAAATATGAACTAAAGTTATGTTTTATTAAATGGAACACCCTGTATATTTATGAATTATATAATCTGGCTTGTTATAAGCTTCTCGAAAATATATAACACTCTATATTTGTTTTCATTATTTAAGGCAATATTTAAAAAGAAACATATTAAAAGATCATTTTTTTAGTAGGCCATGATTGATAATAAAAGAAACTAATCAAATTATTAAGAGTAATACTGCTATCTGTCCCTTATTTTATTATGAGAGCCACTAATTAATTCTTTGTATATTAGGGAAACTTAAATCTCTACCGCTATTTGTAAATCTTGGAAGCTATCGTATCGGAACTTTTAAATATTCCTTTAGCTAATTTACGTGAAATATACTTTCAGCAAGATGGAGCTCCCCCTCACAACTTAACTTACAACGAAAATATTAGAATTTTGTTAAATTATTATTTCTCAAATCAATGAACTGGAACCAATGTACCCATATGATGGCCTCCCTGATTCCCGGATTTGTCTGTTCTCGATCTCTGATTTTGGGGATTTTTGAAATATGAAATATGTCGTGGCAACTAATACGATGTTGAACACTTGAAAAATGCTTCAATAATGCAAGCTTTTAAATATTTGCAAACCCATCCCATTATAATAAATTCCGTTATAAAAAAGAGAAAAATATATTTAGAGGTTCAGTGGTAACAGTTCAAAAGTAAAATATATCAATTCCAAATAAAATTTTAATATGTGCATGTCTATTTTAGTAAATACCATTTAGATTTTGTTATTTATCACGGCCTACTAATAAGAAAATGATATATTTTAAATATTGTAGTAAATAGTGAAAATAAATATAGAGTGATATATATATTTGAGAAGCTCATATCAAAGCGGATCATATGATTTATAAATATACAGGGTGTTCCATTTGAAAAAACATAACTTTAGTTCATATTTTGAAAAATATTTTTTTCGTAGAAAAACAGACTACGCCACTGTATTCTACGTAAAAAGTTCTACAAGTATCAGTTTTCACCTTTTCGACATCATCCATAATAACGAAGATACGGGGGCAGTCCCAAATTGCAAAGTTTTCGAAAAGACCCTGTAGCTCAGAAACGAAAAGGGTTATAAAAATTTTGTTGACAGCATCTTCCATTTGACAAAAAAGTGGCACAGGTTTGTAAAAACCGCACCCTTCTATCTTCACGAATAACGGAGATACCGTATGATTTCAACCAAAATGGGACACCCTGTACATGACTAAAATACTAAAATAATATACTTTTCGTAATTACTAAAATAAACTAAAAAAAATAATTTAATAAAAAAAGACAAGTGGTTGTAGAAAAACTTTAAATATGATTTTTTTACTTTTTAACATCGAAACTCGAAGGTATAATAACAGGTATCATATCAACCAAAAATAGAGTATGTCATAAAAAATGTTTTGAATTTTTACTAGAATCGACCCTTGATAAAAAAAAGGGACTAGATTTAAGTTTCCCGTTGATCCAGTCTGTATACTATTTCTTTGGATTTTCTGCACGTGTGCAAAAACTACACTAAAACACTATATCTTAGAAAATTTTTGAGGGATTTCATCTGAAAAATTATTAATTTGGAAGAAAACCGGCAACCAGCGGTAGAAAATTATAATATTTTAGTGCAGTCTACTGGTCGCAATGACCAACGGACGGCCAGGACGTTAGTGTGCGCGGTATCATTTGATTTAATGGCTTTAGAGGTAGCAGCGTCCTGGCCGGTGCGACCTGGTCGTCAGTGTGTTTGGTTTGGTACAAAACTAGAAAAAGTAATTTTTATTACATCACAAGCAAATAAAAATTAATATTTAGCCAAGAGTCATAATTTAGTAAAAATTCAAGATTTTCCTGGGGGTGCCTAGCACAACCTGATGTGGACCCGGCACCCTCGGGGGTCAATGTGCCTTGTAATTACTCCTATGGTATTAATGCATTTAATTAATAATTTTCAATTAACATTACAATAAGTACAAACATCTGTTATATTTTAAGTGTTGTTCAATTGTTCCAGGCAGGAGAAGCAGCCAAGAAGGATAGTAACGGAAAACTGATCAATCCAGAAAATGTCGGTTTCATCCACGCCTTCGTGGCCAGCTTGTCCGTCATTCTTGTGTCCGAAATCGGGGACAAGACCTTCTTCATTGCAGCTATTATGGCCATGAGGCATCCCAGACTTACCGTGTTTGGCGGTGCCATATCGGCCTTAATACTGATGACCATCCTCTCAGGTAACTAAATAAAAACTAAAGTTTCCCTCTGTCAATTATACGAGGGAAAACAAAATGTTGCTAATTTGGCGAAAGTTTGAAACCCCCTGTAGAATGATTGCAGTTGAGGTTTGGAACCTTTGGTGTTACACAGCAAAATAAAACACTAGATCACCACAATACACCAAAACACTTTTACTTTTACACTGGACGCGCGTTTCGCTAACCATGTTAGCATCATCAGCAGATGATTAAAAGCTAAACTACAATCTACAATTTGAGCGTTTATATACTCGCCCAGTGGGCACCAAGTGGGCGTGGCAAGATCTAGCCAACCGAGTCAGAGCCCACCGAGCCTAACAGTTAGATTTCCGCCACTAGAGTAGTAGGAACAAAGAACTTGAAGGAATTGGACCGTTGTCTCTGTTCATACTATCTTTAAATTTATTAATTCTGATGCTTTCATATGCGTCTAATTGTCTGTAATTTGAGACTTGTTTAATTAATTTTTAATTATTCTATACAATGTTATTTATCAACAATATGTTCGGCAACGCAAGATTTATCCGGTCTACCATATCTTATCTGAGCCAGGGGCGTAGATATACTCTCCCCCAGTACCCCCCCCCCCTTATCTACGCCCTTGATCTGAGCTAAATGTTCCTTAAATCTAGTTAATATTGATCTTCTAGTTTGCCCAACATATTTCTGATTACAATCTTTACAAGAAATTTCATAAATACCCGACCTTCCCAGTGGAGGTGTTTTATCCTTTGGATTACCTAATAATTGTTGTAATTTATTATTAGCACTATACACAAGTTTATAATTGACATTCTTAAAAATTCCTTTTAGACCACGGGATAACTCTCTATCAAACGGTATTGCAAAATATTTTGACGTATCTTTTTCCACTTGAAAAGTCGAATTTTTAGAAATCATTAGGTTAGCGAAACGCGCGTCCAGTGTAAAAGTAAAAGTGTTTTGGTGTATTGTGGTGATTTAGTGTTTTATTTTTCCCCTGTAGAATGGTTTAACAAAGTAAGGAATTTAGAAACTACTTTATCATTGAGATGCAACTTTTCTCGATAAGTTTCTTTTCTGAGGCATCTCAATAGCTTTTTTTTTGTTGGAGATATATTCGAATTTGAAGAAGACAGTATCGATTAATAACAATTGAAGAGCTTATTGTAAATCAGCCTCTACACTATCGCCGAAATGTTTTACGAAATATTTCAGGAAATATTTCGTAAAACATTTCGCAAAACATTTCTAGAATATGTAATAGTACGATAAATATAAGCCCGTGTTATAAAAATTAGTTCCCACGTTTCCTGAAATAGATCCGCCGTGATTGGTTGTTTGTTTTTTATTGTTAACCCTTGTACTACATGAAATAGCACGCGGTAATCAAGGTCAAACGTTGTGGTGGCTTCAGAAAAATAAGTAAACATGGAAAAACTAATATGAAAACAGTTACCGATGGTAAATTAAATTGGCTATTCCTCGAAGGTTACACAGTAATATTAAGTTTTAATAATTGTCTAATATTATTAATTACAATATTCTAAAAAATAGTTATTTATGGTACTAAGAGCTGACGACATATTTAGAGAACATATTTTAGGCTAGCTAGAATATCGTGATCTAGGGCTAGGACTATCTGGTCGTCCGCAAAAAATAGGTACAGGGTGTCCTCATTTATTACGGGGATTCCCTTCCTCTACACTTAAGCATCCATTTTTTAGTGCTTGTTGCAGTATATTTTGAATAGTATAGGAGATAAGCAATCACCAAATCATCCATGCTTGAGGCCTTTTCTAATTTTTATGCTTTCTGACAATGAGTCTCGTATTTTTATTCTAGCTGTGGTGTTCTGGTATAAGTTCTTAACTACGTTAAGTAGGTTGACATTTATATTAGTTATTTCCAACGTTTTCCACAATTTGTTTAATGGTATGCTGTCATAAGCCTTTTGGATGTCTATATATAGTAAGTGTACCTCTTGATCTTTTGCCGTTTTTTTCTCTAAGACCTGTGTTATGGTAAACAGATGATCCACAGTAGACCTTCCCGCTCTAAAACCCGCCTGTTCTTCTATTTCTATCTCTTTATATTCATTTTCTATTTTATTCTTTAGTATCTTTGAAACTACTAATTTATTTCACTAATTTCGAGATTCTCAATGAAGCTTAATAGAAAAATAATTTGCCAATTGCTCAAAGAACTCTTGCCATAAGTAAGAAAAATTGGCAAAGTTTAATTCCTTAACACTATTAACTAAATTGAGACAAACTCAAGTCATATTCTCGCTATTATCACGCCGTTTTCATGCCGGCAGACGTTAATGACATACATTTTAATAATCCATCTAACAATATTGACCTAAAACGATAACCATCTATCTCTCTTACGTCCTCCGAACACTTCTTTAAATTGTTTTGGGATTAATTCAGCGGTGTATTTTGATAATTTTAATATACTGTCATTTTAAATAAGTGCGTTGAACTCGCAGTTATTTTTACGAGTCTTTATTTAACTCGCAGTGTTCGCACGTAAGTTATCAGTTTCAAAATTTGCAAATGACGTTTCTAGTAGGGGAGCACAAGCTCTCACTGATAAATTTCTTCGAGTGTCTTAGACCGTTGTTGGAGGATCCCCATTCCAGGTTACGATGCTTTTAATGCTAAAATTGAAGGGCTTATTGTAATAACATGATAAGCCACTCAACCAGAAATCAGTTTTATTAACTATACCCCAGTCAAAATAAACAAAAAAAGGGTTAAATAACATACATACATACATACTGCCATTACTCGCTGACGAGTATTCGACACGCATCAAAAGATGGTCACGCAAGAGCGTGACAAAAACCATGGTCAAAACCACGTCAAAAAACCATGGAAACGATGCTGCTTCCATGCAACGGAACGGTTAACATTATAGACGATATATTACTATATGGTACATCGGAAGAGGAACACGATAAGCGGGTATCTTTGACTTTAAAAATTTTAAAAGAAAATAATGTTCTTCTAAACAAAGAAAAATGCGTATTTAAAATTTCCGAAGTAAAATTTTTGGGGCATATTTTATCCTCTCAAGGAATATGACCATTAGACAGTTAAGTAGGGGTGGTTAAATCATTTAGAGCTCCCAAAACTTTAGACGAGTTGCATAGTTTCTTGGGGTTAGTTAATTTTATTGGAAAATGGCTACCAAATTTAGCTACTTTAAAAGAACCGCTTAGAATTATTTTAAAACAAAAACTGTCAAAGAACGCTGACATTTCAATATTCTGGACTGATAAACAAACCCAAGCTTTTAATGAACTTAAAGTCTGCTTATCTCAAATTAAAACGCTAGGCTATTATGATCCAATGGATCGTACCCAGGTCATTGCAGATGCAAGTCCAGTAGGTCTAGGGTCCGTACTTATTCAGTTTGACAATAGCGGTCCTAGAATTATTGCTTATGGAAACAAAAGTCTAACAGATGTAGAGAAGCGCTACTGTCAAACCGAAAAGGAGGCCTTGGCCTTAGTTTGGGCCGTAGAACATTTTAAGATGTATCTGTATGGTAAGGACCAATTCGAACTAATAACAGACCATAAACCACTCGAAACTATTTTTGGTCCTAGATCTCGTCCCTGTGCACGTATAGAACGTTGGGTCTTAAGACTTCAGTCGTTTAATTTTAAAATAATTTATCGTCCAGGGAAAAATAACATTGCAGATCCGTTATCCCGATTTTGTGAAGGGCAAGTTCAAGCATCGGTTGAGAGTCACGATTTTGTCCACCAAATTGTCGCACACTCTTGTCCTATCGCTGTGACAGTAAAAGAGATTAGAGAAAATACCGAATCTGACCAAGAAATTTTAGGACTAAAAGCAGGCATTGAACAAGATCGGTGGAGTGATGGTATCAGACACTGTCAAGTATTTAAAGAAGAATTCTGCTTTAGTGACGGGATTCTCTTAAGAGGTACGAGAATTGTAATTCCTGAAAAACTTAGACAACTAGTTCTAGAATCGGCGCATGAAGGCCATCCAGGAATTGTTGCAATGAAAAGTAGACTACGTACCAAAGTTTGGTGGCCCAGAATCGACGAACAAGCAGAAAAGATCGTTAAAGCATGTAAAGGGTGCACGTTGGTATCATCTTCCAATCCTCCCTATCCCATGAAAAGAAGACAAATCCCAACAGCTCCCTGGATAGACGTGGCCATGGATTTTATGGGTCCTCTGCCAAAAGAGATTTCATGAGCTTTTCTGTGACTGAAAAGCCCGATACGTGATGTTATTTTCCTACCGCACTGCGGACATTCAAAAATCTCATTGCTTTGTTGCCTCTTTACTTTTTGGTTGTCGCTGTTAACTGAGTTTACAATTCTTCTCCATTGAGTTCTATTGTGAACTGCTTCTTCCCAATGATTCTGCATGTTAATCCCCTTTAAGTTTTCGTGGAAAATGTCCTTGTACCTTTTGAATTGTCCACCCGGCCTCCTCTTACCGTCTACAAGCTCACCGTAAAGCAGTGATTTTGGTATGCGGTTTTCTTGCATTCTGCATACGTGACCAGCCCATCTTAAGCGGGATTTTGTGACCATGACTTCAATACTCTCGCAGTTAGCTTTTTCAAGGACCGATACGTTTGAGACATGATGGAACCATTTTATTCTTAAGAGTTGTCTAAGGTGTCTCTGTTGCAACTTGTTTAATGCGTTCATGTGTCGGCGGTAAGGCACCCAGGTTTCGCTCCCATATAACATGGTGGGGATTATAATTGCTCGGTATACTGCAAGTTTTGTTTTTGTACTCAAGTCATGATTGTAGAAAACCGCTGTCTTTTAATTTCCAGAATGCTCTTGAGGCGCTACTAATCCTGTGCTGAATTTCAGAGTCAATATTGGCCTTTTCCGAAATCAAACTACCAAGGTAATTGAATTCCGCCACATATTCGAATAGTTCTTCTCCGATTTTTATAGCATTGTTGTGATCTTCCGAGGGAGTGCACATGATTTTAGTTTTGTCGATGTTTAGCTTAAGGCCCAAAGCCTCGTATGCCCAAGTATATGTGTTCAACGTTTCTTGTAATTGTTGTACCGTGTTTGCAACTAGAGTTGTTAAACAGCCTCTACACTAAGCGACAAACTCTTCGAAACATGTCAAGGTCACATTTCGTCGCCCAACATTGACGCATTGCGATTTATTTCCAGTTGTCTTGATCCACTTCGGTTTGCCTCGACCTACTTTCGATTCTTAAAAGCGCCTTTAAACTACTCGTGGATTTTTTTGGCGTTTTTTTTTTGTTGCCTCGTTCACTTTTGTTTTGTTTTGAGCTATTTCCAAAACGTGACGGTATCTGTATCCGAGGCAAAGGATTTTTTTTTCATAAATCTATTTTTAATAAATAATAATAATGAAATAAGTAAACTTAGACGTTTCTTATATAGCTGTTGTTACGATGATATTTCGTTAATTACATCTCGTTTTATGTTATATTGATATATATTTCACAGAATTAATATTTGAACACGCTTTTATTACATTTACTGTGGATACAACTGACTACCGCAAGGTGTTTCTATGTTGCTAGGATCACTATACAGATTATAAACTTTGTTTTTTCTTTATTGTTTTTCGTGGTTCCAATTTTCGGAATCGGGTACTAGTTAGGTTACTAGTTTGCGCACATAGCACGCCCACTTATGGCCTTTAAAATTGTGCACAGCGCCTGACCGGCACAGTTATTAGAGACAGGGCCAGTCAACTGAGATATACGACCTTGAACGATCTTTTTTTGGGGTAGTAATTTCCTGGGGCGCTAGATGGCGTATTTTTATTTTAATTTTTCTAGTTGCCTAACAATTGCGTACAAAATTGTTTTTATAGTTGCCTAAATAAGCCTATTAATTATGTTCTGTCATTGTGCTGTTGTCAAATCAGTTTTCCGTTTCCGGCTTCCTCCTTCCTCTTCGGTTGTGTTTTGCAATTGAACGGAGATGTGCGTTTCGCTGTTTTCTGGTTGTTTGGCTGTGTTTTTTGCAATCTTCATTTTACAATCGTGATTTTGTATTTTTGAATTTTTTTGAACTTTGTTTTGTGTTTGATTTTTAAGGTCTTTATTAAAGGTAAGGTTTAAGTTAAAGGTCTTTGATTTATCTAACAATTTTATTTAATAATCCGAGAAAGTGAGGTGAGTTAACCTAACCAAGTCCAAATGTTCGTGAATTTTATTTTTTAACAATGTAATATTTACAACGCCATATATTTTTACAAAAAAAAAATTGATCAACTTCATATTTTTGTACATAAACTCCACAATGTGATATTACACAATTGTTCAAGTCCATATGTAAAAAATACACGTAAATAAAACATTGTTTCTAATGGACGTCACTTTCTCTTGTATTCCAACGATATTTGTTGTGTTCTTAAATCTGGTACTATAATAAATATTATACTTTTTAAACTGTTGTTTTATTTGTTTGTAAAATGTTTCATGGTATAATTTTCTGTAAATTAAATTAAATTATTTATTGTAGGTTTTTATGCACATAAAATGATATAAGCAAACCATTTAACACTTTACAATAGTTTAACCTGGTTTAACCTTTATATATAAATCCTTGTTTTTTACCATTTGACTTGTTTGCCAATTTGGGACCAATCAGATGACTACACATTATTTTGTAGAAATCTGATTGGCTCTAACTGGCGAACAAGTCAATACGTCTTGCTTAAAAATAAATTACATCTATTTAAATTTGCCGCCACATTTGTTACTTTCCTGGGTGGCTAGATGGCGCCACTTGAACATACAGATTACAGATTTCTTTACAAATTTGAAACCGCTTTGAAACTAAAAAATGCATGGGAGTTAGCGTTCTTCTTTAGTGTGTTCTGTGATTAGAGAGATATCCGAAAATCGAATAGCGTCATGCAGTATTTACGCGTACCTTATCATGGTTACGATATGCGCGAGTCAATTTTTAACGCAACACCCGCTAATAACGTTACCGCCTGACGTAATTTGCGGATCAATTACACCAAGCGCTATTTCTAAATAACGTTTAAAAATTGCTTAAATGGACATGTGCGGGTATTTGGCAACCGGGGCCGGCCGGCGCGATCTTTTATTTTAGGTTATGTTGAATTGTTTTGTATTATTACTTTAGTTTTATTAGGTACTTTGATATTTAAGTAGCTGGAATTAGTTTTAATTAGATAAATATGGCCCAAAATATGGATTCCACCTCTTCCAATATTAAAGAACCTATAAAGAGGCTTAGGTTTACAGCAGATGACGACTTATTAGCCCTTCTAAGAAAATTTGTTGCTTGTTGCCCTAAACCCACTGGCAGACGTTGAACAATAAAGCACTGGAAATCAGCACTTTAGTCCTTTAGTTTTAAAATACCTAGTAGGTAAACAAAACAATTTCAAAGTTTTAAATTCAAAGTTAGGTTAAGTTTAAATAGCGGACGCGACGCGAACAGAATTCTTTGCGATCCGATAACTATAAATGAAGAGAGTTAATACCACCTCACGTAAAGGAAATAACACCTGGCCTTATTAACGTCCATGCGATATCTCTCTATTACGCTGTTTATTGTTATTTTACGCGAGTTTATTTTTGCGCACAGGAAATTTTACTCGTTTGCACATAGTTATAAAAAACAATTTTCGTACCACGAATTAGGGATAAGACTTTTATATGTATACATATAGTATACCTAATCTGTGCTAGGATATTCTATTAATTTTAATTGTATGTTTTAGACATTGTGAATGATCGTAAGCTTTTAAGCATAAAGTGTAACTGAAACCACTAATTTATTCCGCTAATTTCGAGGTTCTAAGTATAATTGGAACCACTAATTTTGAAGGTCTGAATGAAGCTTTTAAATTAAAATAAGTATCGTCCGGCGGTCATATCCTAACTAGTAACTTCGTCCAACACACAATACCAAGAACAGTTCTTGGCTGTGTTGGAAAGAACCCTTTGGTTTAGCATCAGTTACCAATTGTTATGATTTACACTCGGCATTTCTTAGATTATTAATTGATATGTTTTTATAATTTCAGCGTTATTTGGTTGGTTGGTGAACGTAATACCTAGGGCGTACACGTATTATATCAGCACAGCTCTATTCGCGATTTTCGGTCTGAAAATGCTGAAAGAAGGATGTTCAATGTCACCTAATGAGGGTCAGGAAGAAATGGAAGAAGTCCAAATGGAACTTAGGAATAGGGAGGAACAGGTAATCAGATTAGTTCTATTTAATGTACAATATACAGTAGGGTGTCCGTTATAATTACAAAGTTGATCATTTCTCTGACGACGTCCTCTAAATTTTTAGTTTATTGTTTAAAAAAAGTAACAAACCATTTTAAACCCTTAATTTTTTACAATAAACCTTGCCCCAAAGATGGTTCATTCCCCATTTAAATTAGATGGGAATTTGCTACTTTTTGCAAATATTTTTTTTCTCTCGATCTTGAACATATTCTTGTACAGAATTGAACGTTTTACAAAAAAGGTCTCTTACAATTTCTCGATAAACCTACTCCTTCAAAAGTTATTCACGGTTAAATTTAACCACTCCGTAACTTCCTAAATTCTTCAATTTTTTTGACAAAATTATGATTATTTTTGAAAAATTTAATCTATTACTGTAAAAATATACAATTCTGATGGTGTTAAGGTTGGGAATTAAGAAATCTTCAAGTCTAATGAAGTTTAAACCATTTAAGTATAGCTGATTTATTTTAATAAACATTCTTTAGTTGGATTTTGATATTTCTTCTTATACTGGCTTACAATCTGAATCACATATTGTTTTTCATCTTCACTTCTAGATAAAATATTAATGTATTCTTCTGATAATTTAACAGCTCTTTCTGGAGTATCATTAATTGCTCTCAAATTTTTCACAATTTTAATTAAGCCTCTCATATATCCAGAGTTCTTTAACCAGTAGCCTAAGTATATATGTATACTATTAAGGTAGTTTTAGTTATATAATACACTTTTTAAGCTCTTAAGCAGGCAATATTTATAAAATAGGAAATTCAAATAATTAGTTTTCTGACAGTTGGAAATAAATTGTCTGATTATTTGACACTTAATGTCAAAGGAAGCTAGATAAAATCAGGAAAAATATACTAAATCTTAAATAACTTAAAAACGATATATTTTAGGTATAGGAACATGTACAGTTAAAAAAGTAGGTTTTCATTTGAAAAAAATTATTTATGATAATGTTTTAATCGCTCAATTCCATCAGCTACCGCCATTATTATATGGCATTTGAACAATTTAAATTTTTACATAGATAGCCGCATGTCTTCTCTTTATGTTACAGTGGCTGTGGTAATCACTAAATTTGACTTTTAGGCTGTACAAATTTTTTTGACAGGTAGTTTTTTCGTCCAAAAATTTTTAATATTTTTTTTTCTCAAAAACGGTTAATGTCAGGTATAGAGTGTTTAATATCAATATTCATAGAATTTTACAAAGAAGTTAAGTATGTAATAAAAAATGGGGGCACCCATTTAAAATAAGAAAGTTGCTGCCAACTTCCGGTATTTCTGGAAATGCCGCCATATTGAACATATTTTTAATCGATAGATCTCGTTGTGAAACAGTGATGTGCGAAAAATCACCGACCTAGATGTGGTAGTTCTCTAGAAAATTCTAATGCACGCTCAACCAGGGACACCCTGTATATACATAGGTGACGATTGACGACATTCGTTATTTAAATTTACATATAAAATGCCATTTTCTTTTTCGTTAATAGTATAGGTAGAAATAGACAGAATTGGGGTATTATCTTACTTGTGAAGATTAATAAGTTAATTGCAAAGTAAATACGCGAAAGCGTGTTTGTGATGATGTACTATGATAAAAATAAACAGATTACTTATATTATCTTAATGAAAAAATTAGGAAATGTGTGAAATTGAATCAGAGATTACACTATAGTATCAATACTGTGTATTTTAATATTATTTCTAAACAATGATAACTTTTAGAAATATAATTTGTTATTATTGCTATATAGTTAACTAAATGAGTACCTGTTTGAAATCATCAATAAAACTACATGTATGACCTTGGTATGTTTTTTGTTACCTAATCTATATTTACGTTTTGATTGAGAATTTTATAAATTTTCGAACAATTCTGGATTGTATACCAAACTTATATAAATATGAAAATAGTGTGGTTAACCTGTGAGGTAAAAAATGCTGGTGTTCTTCATCGTGGACAAAATAAAGTATGCCCGAATTTACTTCAACTGGAATTAATCGTTTTTTCAAACCCGCTACTTCAAGCATATCAAAACGTTTAATAAATTCATAGTCACTAGATTCTTTAATATCTTTTTCTCTTGCACGTTTAACTTTTGCTATGACTTCATTATATTGCAAAAATGAAAAACAAGCACTATTACATTCTTGCCCAGTTTACCTTAATTTTTCACAGAAAATTTCTTCCATAGGGAAAATACCGCACAGCACTTTTTACAACGATAACTAAACAATTATACATAACCACAAAAAACAAAGCCGAATTTACGCCAGATGTCTGTCAACGTTGCCAACGTTTAGCCCGATTTAATGTTATCCTAACATGTGGCAACCGCGCTAATTGAATCTTTCAAACTCACTGCTCTCCTCCAGGGAATGTTAGCATTCACTAGTAAAAGTTGGTTTCAAAAATAGCTGTTGAACTTTTACTGGCGTAGGCTTAGCAAATCAGCGAATGTGAGCTTTTACTAGTAATCGTTAACAATCACTGATTTCAAATTTTTACTGTAACATATACATTTTTGCCGGAGAATCAGCAATTCATACACTGCACTTTTGCTTCAGATAGAAAGGGGCTCGAACTCCGGCGATGCCGAAGCGGGGGCTACGAACCGCAGGCCTAAACCCACCAGTCCGCTGACCGTCATCCTCAGGATATTCCTGCAAGCGTTTACCTTAACTTTCTTGGCGGAGTGGGGCGACAGATCTCAGCTAACTACGATTATTCTAGGTGCCAGAGAGGTAAGTTTTTGTAGAATATAAGTCAAAAATGTCTTATTATTACTTTAATTTTTTTAATCTACAGAGTTGTTCACCACATACGACACGGAGTATTGTAGCTAAACGATGAGATTTTTACAAATTGTAAGTTTGGGGTTCGTTGAAGGACTATTAGAGCTACAATTTAAAAATATTTTTACAAGATACAGAGTGTCCCAAATAAATAAAAAATATCAAAGTATTTTTTTAAATGGAACACCCTGTATATTATTACATTTTTAGTTTCTACGATTAAAATAAAGGTAAATTTGATTAAGGTTTATTATACTTAAACCTTACCGTTTTTGAAATATTCTCAATTTTGTGAAATTGCAGTAAAAATTTTAAAGCTTCATTTCTCCAAGGGTATCAATGTTTTTAATACTAAATATTTAATGAAGTTTATTTATTGATCAGTTATTCTGTTGCAATAATAAAAATAATACTACCTTATACAGAGTGTCTAAAAATTTATTTTAAATAATTATTAGCTTCAAACGGCAATAACTTCTTTAATTTAAATAGAATGCCCTGTATATTTTAGGAGAATCAGATGCACAATTAAATTGTCTATCAAATTGTATTATACCATTTTTTACCGATCCCTTCAAGTTTTCGTAGAAAATGCATTTTCTTATAATTTAGACCGCATTTATCAATATATCCATGGAATATTGACATTTTAGATTGTTTTTAAAGCAACAAATGTACAAAATGTACAGACTAGTAATTTTATCGTTTTTAGCAAAACGATAATATTACTCGCCCATTTGTATGCAAAAAGAAAACTATTTAAATCTTTATAAAAGAGTATACCATTAATTAAATATAACACCATTATTTCCGCCCATATACTAATTAATTACATACTTAATTGTGTTCGTTAATAAATTATTATAAATAAATGTGGATTTGAGTCAGAAATCAATATAATAATAAGTTATCAAATTAAAGTCTCTGTTGTTATAAATAAGCATTTATTAAAAAATGAAATTCATTTTTAAGGTGTTACTTTTTATCACACTGTCTAATGCCCATACAAAATTCAGTTTTTTAGTATTTGGAGCAATTATTATTAATCAACGCAAACAGTCAGTTAATGTAGTTTGAATACTGAAATCATATTAATTGGTCCTCTTTAACAAATATTTAAACAGTTTTTTTTTATTTTTTAATAAAATAAACAAATTATATCGACAATATTAGTATCTGTACTCTTTAAAAATGTGGTACATCTTTAAAAATAATCTAAAATGTCAATAGTCCATGGGTATATTGATAAATAAGTTCTAAATTACAAGAAAATGTATTTTCCACAGAAACTTAAAGAGATAGGTAAAAAATGGTATAATATAATTTGATAGACAATTAAATTGTGCATCTGATTCTCGTAAAATATACAGGGTGTTCCATTTAAATAAAACAAGTTATTGCCGTTTGAAGCTAATAATTATTTAAAATAAATTTTTAGACACTCTGTATAAGGTAGTATTATTTTTATAATTGCAACACAATAACTGATCAGTAAATAAACTTCAGTAAATATTTAGTTTTAAAAACTTTGATACCCTTGGAGAAATGAAGCCTTAAAATTTTTACAGCAATTTCACAAAATTGAAAATATTTCAAAAACGGTAAGTTTTAAGTATAATAAATCTTAATCAAATTTACCTTTATTTTAATCGTAGAAACTAAAAATGTAATAATATACAGGGTGTTCCATTTAAAAAAATACAACTTTGATATTTTTTACTTATTTGGGACACTCTGTATCTTGTAAAATTATTTTTAAATTGTACCTCTAATAGTCCTTCATCGAACCCAAAACTTACAATTTGTAAAAATCTCATCGTTTAACTACAATACTCTGTGTCGTATGTGGTGAACAACCCTGTATATGGATAAGTAACTTGGTTTCCTTATTGTTGCAAATATATCAGATACATTCTATTATCTAACTGTCTCTATCTTTGACACTTACTTGATCGATCTTCCATTTGTCTTCCATTTGGTATACCCTTTGAATAAAAAGATTAAGGAAGGAGCATATCAAAAAGCTTCGAGCGCGATGGGAACCTAAAATGGCCGACTTAAATTATAATGTTTCATTGTTCTAAGAATGTGTGGTAGACTCAATAATTTGTTGTTTTATTTTACGTTATCAATCGATGATAATAGTAGTTATTAAAATTGTTATAAAAATAAATATTTATAATAAAAATTGATTAGATATAATAATTATTTAATAATACATACAACATGCAAAAAAATGCAAGAAAAAACATAGCAAGAAAAAAAAATATAATTGGTTAATTTTATCTGAATTTCATTCCTTTACGGCCTCCCTTGGGTATTCCCAGCATATTTTGTTCCATTGAGCGTTATGCGACCTGAGCAGGTTCTTGCAGTTGTTATTGAATTTCTTCCATAAGTACTCCATGCTAACTTAATTCTTCTGTTGATTTCTGGTAGTAGAGATTGGAAGGAGGTTAGTCTTGGGTCGAGATTTCCGTATGTAAGAAGAGTACAATGCGTTTATAATGTACCGGGTGTCCCACTAAGAATAGCTCTCGGCTGTATCTCGGAAAGTATTAGCCGTATGGCCTACGGAAAAAATCTTTATAACTAAAGGGGCTATGAGAAATTGCTGGATATTATTTTCAAGTTTGTAAAACGGCCGCTAGAGGGCGCAACTGCTATGGACAATAAGAAAATAGATTTTTTACAGAAGTTTGCCTAGATAATGGGTGCTATAAATAATAGCTTCATAATACTCAGTAAATTTTGGATTTTTTTTGCCTGAACCATTTTCCCCTATCTGCTAAAATAGAGTGGTGGGGGAATGTTAGATCTCTCTTTATTTAAATCTTAATAACTCCGGACTGGATGATCAGAATTCAACAAACGAGGTCTCGTTTAAAAGAGCGTTTCTTACTCTATATCATGGGGCGGGCACTCCTGCGATTTGACAGGTCTTTATTTTTAGTACATTCACGCGCCACGGATTGTGCTGTTGTCGCTTCCAGACGTCAGCTGGTCAGCCCCACTCCCCAAACTGTCGATCGGACACAATTTTCGCGTCGCACGTGGTCGTGGTCAGTTGTCAGTTTGTGTTTTGCTTTTCGTGTTGTTCGTTTCGTTACTGTAGTGGTGTGATTCGGTGTTTTTTTAGCATAAATTCCCAATATGTTTTTTCAAAATGGTATTCTGTTATGGTGTTCCTGGCTGTAGAAATACTAGCAAAGATGTGAAAACACATTGCCTACCAAAATACTCTGAGGTAAGAATCTACCTTTAATTTTTATGTTATTATATCTTAATTCAGTCCATTTCAGTTAAAAGTTTGTCTTAGAATCTCATTTTAAAAATATTAAATTCTACTAAAGTGTAGTTTTTCCATTATTTTGTTTTAGTAAATATTCTATATTCTGTTATTTTATACTCGGTACTTAAAAAAAAATTTATTGTTTTTATAGATGAGAAGAATGTGGTGCCAAGCAGTATATCGACTTGATTTGGTAGATATTTTGTTTATATTTTTTATTTAATTCTAAATAAAATAATATAAAAGTAATCTCTGTTTTTTATTAACATATAATTTTACATTAAATACATATCTTGAATAATTCAAAACAATAAAGTAGGTTGCAAACTATTTATATTTGATGAAATAGTAATAAAAACAATAGTTGCAACTTGCTTTATAGTTTTGAATTATTCAAGATATGTATTTGAAAATACATTGTAAAATTATTTCGATTTGAATATATCGGCAAATGAAGCTTAGTACCCGCACGCTCCACGAGCGTCGCTGCAAAACATGTTTTGGCGGGAGGGCGAGAGTCGCCAATCTAAATTAGTTCTGTTATCTGTGCTCTATATTATACCATAATAATAATAATAATGTTTTGAACGTAGACGCTAGGGGGCGCTTTCTTACAATTTATTAAACATAGCGCGTTTTTCCAAAAAAAATTAAATACGGTAGTATATGTAATTTTAGCTGATAGTAAAGAGTGGAAAAAGCTTAAAAAGTCAGCGAAAACCGCATCTTGATATCTTTTTCAAACCGAAGATATTAGCAAAATTATAATAAATACCAAAAAATAAGCCCTTAATTACCTTATTTTTACAACACGGTATCACTACCCCTCTTGATTATGCCTATTCTAAAAAAAAAATAAGATAGAAACAGTTAGTTTATTTTAAAATCGACGAAATACCAGAATACCATAATACCAGATGTATTAATATCTAATAATTAAGATATTAATAACAGTGAACAAGAAACGATGATTCAGTGAAGTCACGGTAGGCTTTGGAAAAAAGTTGCTTTTGACGTAATAGTATAAACGTCAAATTGATATTAGATCAACATTTTGATAGTCTTAGTAGCGTTTTTTATCTTTTGATTGCTTTTCAAAATGCCAACAGCTTCAACTAATTCAAATAATAAAGGCATTTTAAAAAAGCAATTAAAAGATAAAAAAACACTGCTAAGACTATCAAAATGTTGATTTAATAACAATTTGACGTTTATATTATTATGTCAAAAGCAATTCTTTTCCAAAGCCTACCATAACTTCACTGAGGCATCGTTTCTTGTTCACTCTTATTAATATCTTAATTATTAGATATTAATGCATCTGGTATTATCGTATCCTGGCATATCGTCGATTTTAAAATAAACTAACTGTTTCTATCTTATTTTTTTGTTAGAATGGGCATAATTAAGAGGGCTACTGATACCGTGTTGTAAAAATAAGGTAATTAAGGGTTTATGTTTTGGTATTTATCATAATTTTGCTAATATCTTCGGTTTGAAAGAAGATATCAAGATGCGGTTTTCGCTAACTTTTTAAGATTTGTCTACTCTTTACTATCAGCTAAAATTACATATACTATCGTATTTAGTTTTTTTGAAAAAAACGAGCTGTTTGTTAAATTGTAAGAAAGCGCCCCCTAGCGTCTACGTTCAAAACCTTATTATTCTATTTTTATGGTATAATATAGAGTAAGAAACGCTCTTTTAAACGAGCCCTCGTTTGTTGGATTCTGATCATCCAGTCCGGAGTTATTAACATTTCAATAAAGACAGATCTAACCTTCTCCCACCACTTTATTTTAGCAGATAGGGGAAAATGGTTCTAAAAAAAAATCCAAACTGGATTTACTGAAGATTATGAAGCTATTATTTATAGTACCCATTATATAGGCAAAATTATGTAAACATTCTATTTTCTTATTTTTCATAGCAGTTGCGCCCTCTAGCGGCCGTTTTACAAACTTGAAAATAATTTCCAGCGATTTCTCATAGCCCCTTTAGTAATAATATTTTTTTCCGTAGGCCCTACGGCTAATACTTTCCGAGATACAGCCGAGAGCTATTCTTAGTGGGACACCCTGTACTGAACAGAGAGAACAGTAAACACATTGCCAAACGTATGAAATAAACCGAGAAACTGTGCACATTGCTAAGAGACGTGGAAGGGGATATAGCAGATTTGTCGCAGTTAACCGGTCGACCCAATCAGTACCTCTGTCAGTACTTAAAGTTCTAGGGAAAGGTGTACATCATGCGTTCAGCTTCACGATTTAATTGCGTCTCGTGATACTTTATTCGTTTATTTATCAACGAGTCGTTGTAATTTTCCCTATAGCTTGAAAATTTTTAGTGCAAGCTAGAAATACTTGCATTTTTGGTAAAAATAAGTGGAATTGAGTTGGCGTTCGACAGTGGTCGCGCTATTAGAACTCTGAATTCAAAAAATCGATATCTCGAAATCTACTAGAAATAATTGATTGTAGTTTTTCCAAAAACTTGCTTAATATTTCTGCTATATTTTCTTCGTAGATAGCATGTGAAAATCTTTATCAATAAAAGAATTACACAATTGCTGAAAATTGCTATGCTCAAAAATTAAATGGATGGGTTGTTTACAACTTTTGAATGAAAAAAAAACAACCTTATCGAATTTTCCTTATGTAAACATATTGTAAAAGATCCGATCTTCAGAATAAAAAAGTTTCAATATCTAAAGTGGTTCTTGAGTTATGTGTTATATATTTCTGGTTTAAGATCTGTTTGTATCATAAACGAACAAAAAAGATTAAAAACAATCTTTTTGTTTTATTAAGCACATCCTATATCCAAACTCGAAATTTACTCAGAAATATCTGTTTTTTTTTTTGAAAATATGAGCAGACTTGTCTTTCGCTCTTTTAATAGTAGAAGTTTGTTATTGAAAACGACATACCTGTCTACAACTTAGTAGAATAAGACTAAGAACCTCTTAATTAATGCAATAATGATGTTTTCACTTTGTGAATTGATAAATACGACATCGAAATATCTTAACATTTTATTTTTTTTAGTTTGCTTACAATTTATGATTATATCTTTATTATTAGTACCTGTTTTTTTCTTTTATAGAACGTTTATGGTGTTATATTAGGAGGTGTTATAGGACACTCGTTATGTACTGGAGTTGCAGTATTAGGGGGCAGGATGATTGCCCAGAAAATTTCCGTCAGAACTGGTAAGTGAATTGAACTTTGATTTGTTTTGATCTTTTTCATCTACACTCAAATGCAAAATCATGTACACTCAGATGCAAAAAAAACGCAACGGAGAAATTTTTGGTCAAATTTAAAGTGTTGTATATTTGTTATTTTTAGCCCTAGTTTGATGAATTTTTTAGTAAGCTGTACGTATTTAATTATATCAACTTTAATTCGTAAACTCAGTTTTTTATAAACTTTAGTATTTGGCATTATATACAGGATTAATTGAGGGATTGCTTTTTTACCATACCTTTAAAACACCCTGTGCAATAATTTCGTCTGTAAATTTTCCTAAAATATAATTTTACGGTCAGAACTATGTCTCCTGAGCAATTTGTTTTTTGGATCATGTCAATACATGCTTTGGTTAATTTTTAAGAGCGAAATGAACTTGAAATTTCTTTTTGAAGTTATTTTTCAATATGACAAACCGGATTTGGTGATTATTGTGAACTATGTACTAATATGAACTATCTGTCATATTCGACGTTTGGCAAATTCTTGGTAGAAGGGTTAGAGGTTGCGAAGCGGTACCAGCTTCATTAAATGAACTTCGCTTGGTTCTTAAAGAAGAATGGAAAAGCATAACGCAATATGATATATAGAAATTTTAAAACATTTTCCGATACACGTCATCAACTTTGAGTGACAAGCGATGGCGACAGCGCTGCCAGATTGTGATGGATTTATGAGATGAATCTTAATTTAAAAGTAACCAACAATATATTTAGTATATATTTTTTTATAGATTTAATTTTTAAGTTAATAATGAATATTTTAGTAATTAATTTATTATCTAATAATAGTTTTTATAACTTATTTCTCGATATCTCCCAAACTACAGTTAAATAATACATATCATACTTTTTCAAATATATGTATTTAAGGAAAAATAATAACTTAAAAAATATAGTTAATAAATAAAAAAATAATATTGCAGTAAAAAATCCCGAAAATTTAGTTCTTAAAAGAACTGTTTGTGCTTAGAAGTACAATTTAAGAAAAAAAAACTATGAAAAACGGCAAAATACGAGAATTACTCCCAAAAATTCAACAACACGATACTATACAAAATAATGACTGACACTAGGATAATTGTCAAATAATACACGACAACATTGCTGAACATGGCGCAATGTGACCAACACGGCGATAATAAAAATCGGTTTAAACTAATTTTTGCAGCTTTAATCTAAATAAAATATCTGTTACAATCATTTGCTCTATAAAGTATAATGAAGAGCTGCTTGGTATCTTAAATTAGTCAACAAATTTAAACATTTTTACTAAAATTTCATTTACTCAGGTTTATAGGCTTTAGTGTCAATTTCGATGTGATTGATGACGTGCATCGGAAAATGATTTAAAATTTCTTATATGATATTAGTATATGCAGCCTCAATGACAGTATGAACGGACGTATACAGGCAGTTATAGCAACCAAGGCATCACAAAGTATTAGGGTATATTTAACAATTTTTTTCTGTTTGTATATTATATAACAATATATTTTCTGTTTCTGTTATCTTGAGTACATTATAGATGTTTTCTTTAACATCGTTAGTTCTTTTATCGTTATTATTGTTTATTAAAACCAGGACTGTATCGTAGGTAAGTTTTTTTTAATTAAGTTAATTTATGCAAAGACATTATAAATATAGACCGAACATCTCATTCATAAATACTCGTTGGTAGTGTATCAAACATTCCAATGTGCCAAACAAGGACAGAAGAGACAGAGAAATCTAAAATTTCCGACCCCGGCAACTAGGCTCAGTTGGATTGTTCTCATGGCCAGTGGCGTATCGTTTTTTGGAACGAATTTAATTAGTAAAGTAAAAGTAAAGTAATTAGTAAAATTTTTACTCCATATTAATATACTACATTAACACTTTTTCATCAGATGAGTTTTGTTATAAGGTCTAATATAATAATATAATTAATATCCCACATATACTTATGTTGAAACGTTAGTAGGCAGTTTTCGAAAATCGATCCAAAGTCGATTTTCAATTTAAACTTTCAGTTAATTCTATATAAACTTTGAGTTACTTTTGAATATTTACAGGGTGACTCAGGCTTCCGAAACAGATATATATATATTAGGTTTGTGGTTTTCAATTTCTTTTCAGAATATGGAGGCAATAGTAAAGCACATTTTAGACATTTTTGTAAACATAGGTAGCCGGAACATATTTTCAAACTAAAGTTGTAGAATTGTCATTAAATTTCCATTCCAGAAATACCTAGGGTTGCCACCTGTCCTTTTTTGAAAAGGACAGTCCTTTTTTGAAATAACTTGTATTTTTGACTTTTTTTTACTTAAAAAGTCATTTTTATTTACGTATCTTCCATGAGAAAAATACCAATAGCAAACAGAAATATTATTTTCGTCCAAATTTAATTAGAGATGTTAGAAAACTTATAAATACATTTTTCTTGTTTAGAATAGGCAACATTATTTAGAACTTTCCGTTTAATCTCAAATGATAGTTTAGGTTTTAGTTTTACCTTTTTTGATTTTAAAAAGAAATTTTCAAAATTAGTAATTAGTAACGATTTAGTTAGTTCGCAATCGATAGCTTCCTGAGAAGTACTCTGTGTAATAGTTGTTTAATCTTGTATTACTAATAACTTCCTATATCTAAAATCAATATTTAATGAGAAAATTATGTTTTTTTTTGAAAATATAAGACAAGATTTGGCTTTCGGTCTTCTTCTTGTATTATGATGGCTCTGACACGAGGCAATTGCCTTTTAGTCTTTCAATAGAAGGCATTTATCATTAAAAGTATCAAATCTGTGTGCTACAGTATGAGATGTCTATCGCATAATAATGAATATTACGTTTATTTACAAATCCATTACTTTTAAAGGTAGCTTCATCAGATAATCAAATTTTAGTTAAATGTCTCAATTTTCATGAACTATATTAAGCATACGTATTGCGGTTTGCACCACCCTGTATGTTGACAAAAATATTTTGAAAATGTGCGTTACAATGGCCCCATCTTATGTAAAAAAATTGAAATAAAAATCACAAACCAAAAACGTAATAGGTTAAAAGCTTGTTTGGAGGCCTGAGAATTATTTACAGTTCGTCCCATTCTAAAAAAAAGGTAAACACACCGTACAAATAACTCTAGGAAGAGGTATTTGTACGGTGGTAAAAAATTGTCTAAACAAGGCCGAAGGGGCAGATATAATAAAGCAATAAAATGTAAAAAGGGTCGGGTAAACACCTTTGTTTATTTGTTGAGCAAAATTCCTTTAGAATATCGTATATAATGACCAAAATATGACGCAATATTAAGAAAAAAATGTCACTTTCTGGGTAATAGTAAAGTTTCAAGTGCAACGTTTATATTCAAATTTGTTATGATCTACAACAGTTAGGTAGTAATTGAGACGAATTATAATTTAATCACCGGCTACTACGTTCTTGTTTTAATAGATCAAAATTCAACAAATATAATTAGAAATTATTTTAATTGTGAGAGGCTCCCTTGTGGGACGCCTATGTACAATTACGGCGGAAATATAATATGTTAAAACAATATCTACCTGTGAAAAGACAAATTCGGATAATTTGAGCTTATTTTTCCACACACTTGACCCTGTCGTACCATATTGAAAATTCGCAGATTCAAAAGTACGTTAAACAAAACAAAAACTACTGAAAAACACTGAAAAGATCAGTTCGGACTTGATTCCGACTTCAAACACACCGTAAGCTAAACGTAGTATGCAACACCCTGGTGGACCGTCCAGCTAGAGGCAAGGAGAAGGCAGGTAAGGAAAAACTGGAATAGGGCAAAAAGATCCGGCGATTGGGGGGAATATAAGACCTCTTTGACCGAATATAACAAGGAACTGAAGAGAGCAAAGAGATTATCTTGGAGGAGGTACTGCGAGGGCATTGATAGTACCTCAGAATGTGCCAGACTTCAAAAAATACTCTCTAAGGACTCTCAGACCTCAATTAACTCTCTTGTAACTAGTGCAGGAGAATACACATCCACTGGGAAAGAGACGCTGACCGAACTCTTTCGGGTACACTTTCCCAGATCAATAGCCTTGGAGCAATCCCCAGAAACCTGGAAGAGTAGTGGACTTGAGAACTTCACGAGAAGAGCCTCAAGGGAAGACTGGCAGGTTTCAAAAAGGGTGATTGACCAATCAAAGTTAAAATGGGCTATAAGCTCATTTGAGCCATACAAATCACCGGGACCGGACGGTATTTGTCCAATAATGCTCCAGAAAGGACCAGACCTACTGACGAGCAAACTTTGTACACTACTAAGAGCTAGTCTGGCCTTAGGATATATACCGAGAATTTGGAGGCTGACCAGGGTAGCTTTTATACCCAAGAATGGGCGTCTGGACTATTCTACGGCAAAGGCTTTTAGGCCCATCAGTCTTATGTCGTTCGTACTAAAGGCTCTTGAGAAACTAATGGACAGGTATGTTAGGGATGAAATAATGGGAAAAAGACCATTTCACCAAGACCAGCATGCCTATACAGCAGGACGATCAACCGAATCGGCACTCTATCAGCTAGTAAGCAAAGTGGAGTCGACGTTCGAAACAAGAGAAGTGCTTTTAGGGGCATTCCTCGACATAGAAGGGGCGTTTGATAACACCTCATTTCAGTCACTGACGAGAGCTACAAGGAACCTCGGATTAGAGGAGACCTGCTGCAGGTGGATAGACTGCATGCTCAAAAGTCGAGTGGCATATACCACCCTCCTAAATGAGACTGTTGCGGTCCGGGTGGCGGGAGGATGCCCGCAGGGGGAGTTCTCTCCCTCTGCTGTGGAATCTCGTTATGGACGGACTGCTTAATAGTCTCAACAGGGCTGGTTTCAACACTCTGGGATATGCAGACGATTTGGTCGTGTTAGTCAGAGGTAAGTTTAACACAACAGTAAGGGAGCGAATGCAAAGGGCCTTGAAGATTGTGGAATTATGGGTGACACGGGAGGGACTAAATATTAGTCCTACAAAGACCGTAATAATCCCTTCACCAAGCGCAGAATACTTGAGGGACTAGGCCTCTAAGACTCTGCGGTGATGAGATTCCTCTCTCGGGGAGGTCAAGTATCTAGGAATCACGCTTGATACCAAACTGACCTGGAACCGACATTTGGAAAATGTCACAAGGAGGGCGGTGACTACACTAGCGGTAGTCAGACGCCTTCATGGAAAAATCTGGGGCCTTAGACCACAGATGGTGCACTGGCTGTACACTGGAGTGGTGAGGCCTTCAGTAACATATGCATCCTTGGTATGGTGGCCTAAGGTAATGCAACAAACAACAATGCTCAGCCTCAGCAAGGTGCAAAGACTTGCTTGTTTGAGCATAACAGGGGCGATGAAATCAACGCCCACTGCATCAATGGAGGCGCTTCTGGACCTTCCGCCTCTTCACATAGTGATCCAGGCGGAGGCAAGAATGGGACTCTATCGACAACAAAGTGTCTTGTCTCTGGGAAATAGGACAGAAACAGGACACACAAAGATGGGAAATCCTATCGGGGACCTCTACTCCAAATGAGATCGGACCAGATGACCCCTCTTTATCACTACCACAAACCATTCGAGGTGAACAAAATGGATCGAGGAATGTGGACAGATATAACATTCCTTCAGGATGGACTAACCTGGTATACAGACGGGTCAAAGACCGCTGAAGGAACAGGAGCTGGAGTATTTGGGGAAAGACCAAGGGTAAGTCTATCCTTTTCCTTGGGTAAACACTCAACCGTATTCCAGGCAGAAATCTTCGCCATTCTACAATGTGCGAGAGAAAACAATAGAAGAGCTTATTCAGATAAGCTCATCAATATATGCTCAGACAGTCAGGCAGCACTTGGGGCGCTTATGAGCCCAAAGGTATCGTCGAGACTCGTCTGGGAATGCCTAGGTGAACTGGAAGCTCTGGCTCGACGGAACAGAATTAAATTATTCTGGGTGCCGGGTCACAGCGGCATCCAAGGCAACGAAAAAGCCGATGAGCTAGCTAGGCAAGGATCATCGGCATCTTATCTTGGTCCAGAGCCAGTACTGGGAATACCCAAATGTATGGCCCGTAGTGCATTAAAACTCTGGATCAGGGAAAAGCAGAATGTCCACTGGAGAAACAGACAGGGGCACAGGCACAGCAAGGCTTTTATCCAAGGACCTAGCTCCAAAACCGTAAAAAGAACTGCTAATGCTTAGCAGGAATAAATTGCGGATTACAACAGGCCTCTTGACAGGACATATGGCTGTCAAGTGTTACCTGAACAAGCTCAATCTGTATCAAGGAAGTCTTTGCTGCAGACTCTGCGATAAAGATCCTGAAACAGCAGGAGCACATAATATGTCACTGTGAGGCTCTGGATCGCAAGCGACACTTTTATTTGGGAAAGCTAGGCTAGAACCGAGAGGAACTATGCTCCCATCCTATCAAGGACCTGCATAAGTTAGTGCAGGGCACAGGGATAGGAGAATGGGTGCAGATATAGAAAGGGGACAAACACAATAGACCTCACAGGTCGCAGTGTTTCCGGCAGAGGACGGCCCCTTATTGTGGAAAAAAAAAAAAAAAACGTAGTATGCTATAACGGACCAAGGACCGTCGCGAGGGGTGGTGGGACGGACGGCTCATTTCATTCTGGAAGACTAGCAGCGACGTTGCCAATAGTTCTAGACGTTTCAGCACATTAAACAGTAAACATGTCCTTTAATAGTAACGCATATATCATCTGGTTAATAACATATTATTACGCGTGCTTCTTTAAAAATAAACTATTAATTTAATTAAGAAATTGAGATTTATTGATATCCGGTGAAGGTTTTAAAGTCACCTTTTCTGCAAATCAAACTAAGTAGATAGGCGCAAATTTGATATGTGGCAATGTCGCCTTCTCTATCTCAGTTGGTTTTTACAGTACGTAGTCAACCTCCGATTGTTTGATCGGTTTAAAATGCACAATGTGATATCTGTTCTTCCTAAATCTATGAATTTATGCGTTTTTTTTTGCAAAAAAATACTTTTCAAATTTCAATCCTTCATATTTTCAAAACGACTCGACCGATTTTTAAAAACGAAGCGGGGAAATATAGAGAATAGGAAGCCCTTTTCATTGCGGCGCCACTTGACCCCCCTTCCCATTTGAAAAAAGTTGGGGGATGACACCCTCGCTTAGAGGGTTGCAGATTTTGCAATCATTTTTGGGGCAAAAGTTGTCCCACTCACAAACAAAATTGACGTGTTTTTGGATTTTTTGAAAAAACAAATACCCTGGCCGTTATGCCTTGCGGAACGTTTTCGATGGGCCACCCTGTATATACCGATATTGCTTACCCCCGATATTGCCAAATACTAAAGTTTATATAAAATTGAGTTTACGAATTAAAGTTGATGTCATTATACACAGCTTGCTAAAAAAAAATCATGAAAATAGGTTTAAAAATAACAAAAATATAACACTTTAAATTTGACCAAAAATTTCTCCGTTGCGTTTTTTTTCCATCTGAGTGTATTTTTGTTAACGCTAAGCTAATTGTTCTTGTTTAATTTTTAATTTTTCGATACCTAAGAAGTAACTTTTTCGATATTTAACGTAAAATGTTCCATTCTTTTTCAGTTACGATCATCGGCGGAATTGTGTTTTTAGTATTCGCCGTATCGGCGCTGTTCTTCGACCCCAACATGGGTGAAAAATAGTTGTTACCCTCACTGATTTAACTAGGATCGGCCAGAAATTAGAAAAGCAAAAGCGACAAACCTTGAAAATTTTGCCTTGATATTATTTTCCAAATAAACGTTTTAGAATAATGTATATATAAAACAACAAATACACTAAGTGGGTAAAAAATTGCGTCACCTCAAAAGTTTATTTTATTTGTTTTTGACACTGACAAAATGTTAAAACAAATATTTGTATTTTTTTTGGTGAATTTTTATTCTTAATCACAAAAGGTTAGTTTTATTTATTTTTGGATAAATGTTGAAACGAATATTTTAAATTTTTATTTTTTATGACAGGTTATGCATGTTGTCACTCTCCAAATAAACTAGAGTCTGTCAAGGAAAGATTTCGGCAGACGACATTCAAAAATTTACTTGTGAATAAAAATGACAGATACAACTGTCACCGACGTATAGCCTCTTGTTGGACAGACTATAGTCAATATTCCAGTATTTTATTTTTGTAGTATGAAATTCTTCAAGAGTAAAGCTTTATCCAGAACCTTGCAATTAGTGAAATAAATTAGTGGTTTCAATTAGCGTAGAAGTTTATTCCTCTAATTTGAATGTAAGCATTCAAAACGTTAAAATTAGTGGTAGAAATTTTTCAGTTAGTGGAAAAAGTTTAGTAACTTTTCCACTAATTAACTTGTTAACTAATTTAGCTAAATGCTATGTCCTCTCTATGGATACAACGATTATTGGAAGCTGTTGCCAGGATATTCTATTAATTTTAATTAGGTTTTTTAGACATTGTGAATGATCGTAAACTAAAAAGTATAAAGTGTAATTGAAACCACTAATTGCGAGGTTCTGAATGAAGCTTAAAGTGGTCTATTTTTTCAAAATACCTAAAAAAGTTGTCTGTAATGAAAAGTAGATGTCATATAAATATACAGGGTTGTTCACCACATACGACACGGAGTATTGTAGCTAAACGATTAGATTTTTACAAATTGTAAATTTTGGGTTCGTTGAAGGACTATTAGAGCTACAATTTAAACATATTTTTACAAGATACATAGTGTCCCAAATAAATAAAAAATATTAAAGTTGTATTTTTTTAAATGGAACATTCTGTATATTATTACATTTTTAGTTTCTACGATTAAAATAAAGGTAAATTTGATTAAGGTTTATTACACTTAAACCTTACCGCTTTTGAAATATTTTCAATTTTGTGAAATTGCAGTAAAAATTTTAAGGCTTCATTTTTCCAAGGGTATCAAAGTTTTTAATACTAAATATTTACTGAAGTTTATTTATTGATCAGTTATTGTGTTGCAATAATAAAAATAATACTACCTCATACAGAGTGTCTAAAAATTTATTTTAAATAATTTCTAGATTTAAACGGCAATAACTTGTTTAATTTAAATAGAACGCCCTGTATGTTTTAGGAGAATCAGATGCACAATTTAATTGTCTATCAAATTGTATTATACCATTTTTTACCTATCCCTTCAAGTTTTCGTAGAAAATGCATTTTCTTATAATTTAGACCTCATTTATCAATATACCCATGGAATATTGAAATTTTGGATTGTTCTTAAAGTAACTTTTTAACCAAAAACTCCAAACCATTGGTTTGCAAAAAGAAAACTATTTAAATCTTTATAAAAGAGTATACCATTAATTAAATATACCACCATTATTTCCATTTTAAAAAAATACAACTTTGATATTTTTTATTTATTTGGGACACTCTGTATCTTGTAAAGATATTTTTAAATTGTAGCTCTAATAGTCCTTCAACGAACCCAAAACTTACAATTTGTAAATCTAATCCTTTAGCTACAATACTCCGTGTCGTATGTTGTGAACAACCCTGTAGATATACGAAAACGGAAAGATGTAGAAACAAAATATTTTATGGGTATATGTAGAGAGGCAATGTACATAATTTAAAATTATTTTGAAATGTACAGGGTGTGTCAGAACTTAGATCCACAACAAAGTTATATTTTTTCTTATGGAACACCAGGTATTTTATTTCATTTTTGCATTCTTGGGCATAAAATGAGGCATTTATTATAAAGGTGCGTATTCACTATCCGAACGAACGAATGTTCATTCGTTCGTTCGGTAGTAGTATTGACGGGACCGGATTTTAGAACCAAACGAAAACACCTTAACCCATTCGTTTGCGAACGCCTTTGATGTACCGACTCGAAACGGATGGCCGAGCGAACGAACAAACGAACGACCGCATGCGTTCGGTCCACCGTCCAAATATACCGAATTCCATTCGTTCGCTCGCTCGTTCGTTCGTTCGTTCGGATAATGAATACGCACCTTAAGGTTCGTTCGTTTGCTCGACCATCCGTTTCGAGTCGGTACATCAAAGGAGTTCGAAACCGAATGGGTAGATGTTGTTCGTTCGGTTCTAAAATTCGGTCCCGTCCATACTACTACCGAACGAACCAACGAATGTTCGTTCGTTCGTTTGGATAGTGAATACGCACCTTTAAGGGTTTAATATGTTTAAATGGTTTGGTTTTTGAGTTTTTGTATAATAATGTTTGCTATAATAAAAAAAATGTAAACACCTTGTACGTTATTTTTTAGAATTAATTCTTGTGCTGACTTTCAAGCCAGAGAAATAAACTTTACTAAAAAATGTTATTGCTTCCGTAACTAACTATCACTAGCAAATTGCCATGGACCAAATACACCAACCATCTTGATTGCCATTTTATTGAAAAATCGCTTTTTATTCAAAATCTGAGCCAGATAGTTATAGGAAACCCTAATATAGCTTGAAAGAGCATTTAAATATGCTTCGACTTATTTAAAAAAATACATAGTGTTGTATTTGAAATAACGAAGTTTTTATGTAAAATAAATATTTAAAATAGACCAGCAATTTTTGATACCCCTGTATATATTTACGGAAGCAATAAAATTTTTTAGTAATGTTTATTTCTCTGGCTTCAAAGTCAGCACAAGAATTAATTCTGAAAAATAACGTACAAGGTGTTTACAAACTTTTTTACTATAACATGCATATTTAAATATCTTTAAATATCTCAATAACCAAAGCATTTAAACATATTAAACCCTTATAATAAATGCCCTATTTTATGCCCAAGAATCCAAAAATGAAATAAAATACCGGGTGTTCCATAAAAAAAATATAACTTTGGTATGGATCTTAGTTCTGACACACCCTGTACATTTCAAAATAATTTTAAATCATGCACATTGCCTCTCTACATATACCCATAAAAAAATTTGTGTCTGCATCTTTCAGTTTTCGTATAATCAAACGAGGCGAATGAGGTGCGCCACCCTGTATAGAGACTGGTGTTTTCCATGGCGTTTAAATCAATAAAAACTATTTTCAACCATAAAAATTACATGTTTCGTTTAAAAATAATCAAAAAACTTGATTTTTAACGCTTGCTTCAAGGAAACAATCTCTAAAAGTTATATTAGGGACCGATTTTTAGCTTTTATCTCTATAACGCTTTTATAATACCTACTTGATTTGTTTTAGATATTTTAAATTTTTTAACCGTGGAACTTTTTTGGAAGAGTGCCTATTCCTCTAAATGTTGTGTTAAATACAAATTACTTTGTGTTTGTCTATTTTAATGAGGATAAGTATTGGAAAGATAAGTGCAATCTTGATTGAACTAAAATATTCTTATACAGTATCTTTTTTACGGATTCTTTGGTTTAGAGAATCAACTTAGAAAAATCACATTTTTCATGTTTTTTAGTCCAATATTTTATTTTGAGTAAATTTAAGTAGTTTAGTAGAAGTTTAGTTGTACAGATACCGTATGATCGAATAGAAAAACGGCGTCCAGTTGGCTTAGAAATGACGATCGATGATATTTTCCGTATACTTTTACATATAGAATGACAGCGATCTTCATTTCATAGCCATCGCTGACGCCGTTTTTATTCTATCATATATTACTACGTGTATATCGGCTAGTTTCAATAAATATTAAAAATAATTTTAAAAAAATGGCAATAGACACGGAATTGAACAAAAAAGTTGTTTTAGATTTAGTTACATAAAACTATAATTTATTGTGATATAGACAATACAGAGTGTTCACGTATATTTTAGCCAATAGTTATATATCTCCCGTAAATATTGGTTTTAGCGAGAAGGTTTAAACGTAAATTATGACAGTTTTGTCTGAATATTTTAATGTTTGAAATGGCAAAAAACCATTAGAAATGTCAAACCTGACATAAGTTTATAGATAAATGGAACTAGTTTAGATTGGAAAGTGTTTATAAGGACAATTTAAATATTATTTGGCGCTGTTCTTGTAGCGGACGCGATCCGGAAGCTTTGTATAATTTCGGAGCGGTTCGGCATTTTTCGTAATTATATCGGGAAATATTTTTTATTCCAATTTATAATTACTTTCTTTTATTTTCTTAGATAATATACCGTGTGTTACATATAAAAAAACTTTATTTTATATAAACAGATTCATACATCCCTAATATGGTATATTTATGAAAATAGATAAAATATACGTGAAAATACACTGTACGCATCTAAATATAAAATGTCGCAATTTTTTACCCAAAATGATATATCGGATGTCGAAAATAAGCGGCGTCAAAATTGGTACCACAATTTCAAAGCCCACTATGACGTCTTTTTTTTCTCGATCGAACGGTATTTTTCTTCAAAATACTTTTGTACAGTCTCTTAGAAATTCAAACATTCAGAAATCCCAGGCATAAATACATACAAACTAATCAAAAAGTTGAAGATCCAGAGTGCTTTGTATCTTTATATGTCAACAGAAAAAAAAATTTTATACTTATTGAAATTTACAAATTACTTTTTTATAACTGTCAAAGTCAAAGCCCGCTTGATCATACAACTTTTTGATCGCATGGTACATTACATTACTGATTATTTAGGTATAAACATGTTAGATGTTATATATGTTACAGTGAAAGTCGGAAATTCAGTGATTGTTAACATTCACTAGGAAATGCTAGCAATTACGGATTGGACCAGTGAATGGGGTATTTTAATGAGATTTGTCGACTTTTCCTAGTAATTTCTAACATTCACTATAGTGAAAGTAACATTTACTGAAGGTTGTCAATAAAAGTTATTCTATTGTACAGGGCGAGTATGGTGAGGAAGAATGTTGGTGGAAGTTAGAACAAATAAAACTTTTAAGAATATTGGATTTTAAGAATATTGGACCTCGGTATTCAAGCTGGTCCACATATCTTAAAATTACAATTTACTTTTTTGGTATATTTATTAAGACTTATAGAAAATAACGGACGTAACCTTCTAAATATTAAAAGGGAAATCATAGTAAACATTTTAAAGCGTCCAAAACAATTAAAAACAACATTCATAAACATAAGTTTACTTATTGATACAAGGTTT